CGCGACTACAGGCCGAATAACGCGTTGAGAGAGGCGAGGTCGTCGTCGTCCTTCTCCTCCTTCACGCGGACGCCACTGCTGAACCCTTGCCCAGGGTCGCCCTGGCGGACCGGCGGCGGTGGCGCGTCGTCGTCGAGGACGACGACACCTCCCTCGTCACGGCCACGGCGCCAAGCGGCGAACTGCTCAAAGGCGCGGCGTTGACGCTCCAGCTCCGTTCGCGCCCAGTCTTCGCGCGCCCACTTCAAGGCCGTCGCGTTGTCGATCCCTGGCTCCGTCTTCACAGCGGCTAGCCCTGGCTCCGTCTTCGGCTTGACGAAGCAGGGAGGAGCCGAGGAGGCGCGCCCGCCCTTGTTGATGACGATGTCGGCGCTGCGGGTGTGCCGGCCGAGCGGCGTCTCCGCGGGCTCGGCCTTGACGCTGAACAACGCCGACGAGATGGAGCAGTGGGAGGAGGAAGAAGAGGAGCCGGCCCTCCTCGGCATCCATTGGCCGCCGCTCCGGCGGGGGACCGGGGCGGCAGGGTTCCTCAACGGTGGGTCGTTGCCGCCCTCAAGGTGCTGGAGGACGGCGTGGAGAGTGCGGCCGGGGGCGCCCTACCAGAGGCGGCGGCCCTCATTGTTCCTGGTCCCCCGAACCACCGGCTCCCCGTTGGTGGAGGCCAGTTGTTACGCCTGCCGGCGCTGGAAGTACGCCGCCCACGCTTCGTGGTTGCCGGCGGCGTACTGTGGGAGGGCCCGTTGCTCCTCCGTCAGTGACGCCCGCACGCGGTCGACCTCGTCGGCGAAGTAGTCGGCGCGCGCGGTGACGTCTTGCAGCGAGGGAATGGGGACGCCACCGGCGCTGAGCTTCCACCGCCCCGGCGCGCGCATGTCGGGAGGCGCCGGGGCGTCGGCCTTGAAGAGCAGGTAGGCTTCCCACTCGTGCAACGAGTGGCGGCCGAAGCTATCGACCGCCGTCCTATCGCCGAGAAACCTCTCGCCCATCGTCGCGGCTGGGAAAGGGAAGAGAGGGGAGGAACGTCGGCGGCGTCGGCGCACGAGGAGAGAGCTCGGCAGCTGTGGGCGGGGTGCGGCCACAGGCGAGGCGGAGCCCTGCTTATATAGCAGCCGGGGGATCGACGCCGTGTGTATGCGTGGCGGGAGGTGGTGCGTCGCCGCGCCCGCGCCGCCCGTGACGAATCAATGAAAGGCTGACCGGCGGCAGCCTTGGCATTGATTCCCCGCGGGAAACCAAGGCGATGAGGACGACGAGGCGCGTGGGTCACTGACTCGACGGGCCCACCGTTCTTTCATGCCAAAACGATTGCCCCGACGCCCCCCGGCGTGCCTGGTTCGGTCTGGGTCCACCCGCGCCAGTTTCGGTCCAAAGCGACGAAAAACAGGCTCCTGGATGCGCGACTGGGCCGATTTTTGCACGCCAGCGCTAAAAATCGCCTGGGGACCTGTTGGGGTCTCGGCTAGAGATGCTCTAAGGATCCTGTTTTTATAAGGTTGCGCCTTTCCTTCCTTGTTAGCTTCTTGATCACTGCTCCCTCCGTTTCATAATGTAATGCTTATAGATTTTTGCACAAGTCAAACATTCCAAACTTTGACCATATTTATAGAGAAAAGTAGGTACATCTAGAATATCAAATGCACATCATTGAATACATCGTGAGTTATATTTTCAGAATGTACATGTTTGGTATTGTAGATGTAGATAGTTTTCTCTATACACTTGGTCAAAGTTGGTAAAGTTTGACTTTCACAAAAATCTATAGGCACTACATTGTGGAATGGAGGGAGTATATTTATTAATCATTACATCGGTCAATTTATTAATTGTTACATCGCCTTGACTCAAGTGGTCATCAGATCGGCACATGCGCAAGCAAGCGCAAAGCCACTGATACGTACAGTACGAACTTGCCGAAGAAGCAGAAGCGTAAGAAAACTGAGATATGCATTCGGTTTTTGCCTCGGTTTCCAACCGGAACCTTTCATATTTCATAGCACGAAATAATAAGCTCAGGAATGGTTGTATGATCAGCGCAAACAGAGCCAATTCGCTCTGGTGTTCCATGTCGCGAACGAAGCTATCCCTCGGCTGGATTGTGCCAAAGATTCCCGTCTGCTCCCCGGTGAGGAACGCCGTCGCCACAGTTTATTTATGTTTTTTTATTGATTTTTGTTGGGTTCTTTTTATTTTTCAAGTTTGTTATTATTCTTTCTTTCTTTCAATTACGTGTTTAGTTTTTTAATATCAGTTGTAAATTTTCCATGTACACGTGGAGCATATTTCTATTTATGTTTGAACATTTTTCAAGATACAAGATGAACCATTTTCCCTTTTTTTTAAATATACATTTAAACATTTTTTTCTTATACATGTGAAATATTTTTCGAGCACACTTTGAATATTTTTTAGGGTACAAATATTTTTGTAAAATTATCCAAAATAATTTTTTGACAATGTACAAATATTTTTTATAATGCCACGAACATAGTTCTGGAAATGTGAACATTTCTTAAAAATTATAAATGCATTTATTTGAAAGGTATGGTTTCTTACAAATAAAATGATTTTTCAAAAAAAAATCACAAATATATTTTTGATTCATGTGAGCATTTTGTAAAATGACAGATGCATTTTTTTTCTAATGGTAATATTTTTAGAAAAAACATACATGAGCAATTTTCTTACATTGTATAAATACTTTTTTATATTTCATGTTTTTTAAAATGCATGAACACCAGCACGCAGCCCACCTCGTGCCGCCCTCCACGCCCGCCACTATGGGAAAAAAGTTTATATGAGACCAGGTCTCTCGGTGGTGAGACCCGCCCTGATGAATGACACGTGACATTCACAAATCACAAAGCATCTAATCTCTCCCCCCTGATTTTAGATGTGGGTGCGGTAGATGCTTTGTGATTTGTGAATGTCACGTGTCATCCATCAGGATGGGTCTCACCTGCTAACCCGTGAGACCTGGTCTCATAGAATTCTTTTCCCCACTATGGCAGCCCAGCGTTGCCGCGTCCCGCGCCATGCCGCGTTCCGGCCAGGGTAGATCGCCCCATGGCGATCCAGCCTCGCGAGAAGGAGAAAGCGCCCTGCCGCCGCCCATGCCGGGCGGGCCGCCGGCACGCCCTGGTAGCGGCGAGGGAAGGGAAGGAGGAGGAGGTCGCGGTCTGGCGGCGTCTAGGGTTTCCTCGCCTACCGCCGTGGGAGCACCAGAGGAGGGGTCACTCGTTGGTACAGACTTGAAACTATATTTAGTAGTGCAGATCTTGTTCAGTTCTTACAGGACTGTGGTTATTTATATGGATCGACTCGAATTATCACCCCGATCATATGATTGGATGACATTCGTCACAATGTGGGGCTGAGGGTATCATGGTGTGACGTCCTACCTTTTCTTCAGAGCATGCGGGCGGTACGTGCCTCTTTTCCGGTCAAATACCTAGGACTACCACTCTCTGTTTGGCAACTGGAGAAGGTGGATTTCCAATACCTTGAGGACAAAGCGGCCGGCAAATTGGTCACTTGGGAGAGCCAAAACATCACTACGATCGGTCGTATGACACTTGTTAGGTCGGTCATTACCTCCCAAGCAGTATTCTCCATCACGCCCCTCATCGTGCCTCAGAGCTCTCTCCATAGCCTTAACAAAATTGAGAGAGCTTTCCTTTGGTCCGGCTCGGACAAGACAACGGGAGCCAAATGCAAGGTCAACTGGAAGGTGGTTTGTAGACCAAAAGAATATGGTGGCCTCGGGGTGCTGGACACCGACAAGTTTGCACGTGCTTTGCGGCTCCGATGGCTATGGTATGAATGGACGGAGCCCCGAAGATTATGGGTTGGCCTTGGAAACCCGTGCACGGAGGAGGACCTCGAGTTTTTCTATGCCTCTACGACTATCACTGTAGGGGATGGCGCCAAAACGCCTTTTTGGGGCTCGTCGTGGCTTCTTGGTCGCAAACCCAAGGATATCGCGCCACTCTTGTTTGCGGCCTCGAGAAGGAAGAATTGGAAGGTCCGTGAGGCCCTCGTGGGGAACGCTTGGATCTTCAAGATCAATCTGAACACGGACACGGATGTCTCCATTGCCCATATTAGGGAGTTCTTCACTCTTTGGATGCCCCTTAATGACGTCCATCTTCATGAGCAAACCGAAGACCTCATCATTTGGAAGCATGCGAACGATGGGATCTACACGGCGGCCACCGCATACAAGCCTCAATTCCTAGGCATGACTCTTTCCCTCTTGGATCGCATGGTTTGGAAGGCATGGGCACCTCCAAAGGTTAAGTTTTTTGCTTGGTTGGCGTTGCAAGATAGGATTTGGACCGCCGATCGCTTGGAGCGTCGAGGTTGGCCAAATTGTGGCCTTTGCAAGCTCTGCAATAGGGAGCAAGAATCAGGAGCCCACCTTTTCTTCAAGTGCCGCTACACGATTCGGCTATGGAAGTCTCTTATTGAGAAACTAGGTCTTGCGCACATGGATACTTCCGATTGGCTCATGGACGACTCTGTCTACCAGTGGTGGGACAAGAGAACCGACAACCGCAACCCTAACCGGCAAGCTATGGCCTCCCTCATCATGCTCGTCTCTTGGACCATTTGGAATGAAAGAAATGCACGAGTGTTCCGCCACAAAAGTGCACCACCGACCATCCTACTCACCGCCATCGTCGACGAGGCCAAGCTTTGAATGGCCGCGGGCGCAAAGAAATTAGGGAATTTTTTTCTGGGCGAGTAATTGTCATGCCGAAAGTGTGGGTGTGTTGTAATTCTCTAAACTCTATTCTCTCCTTATTTAATAGATGAGGCAAATCTTATGCCTCCGTTTCGAAAAAAAAAACTGGAAATTAGCCAAGCGAACTCGTAAATAGATAGAGTTTCTCTTGTTTTTTTTTTCATTTCCTTCAATGAATTAATAAACACGCGTCTGTATATTTGTAGTTGCTGGCAAAATTAGAGTACTTAAAATTCGCTCTCTGGCAGTTACATGGTCAGAAGTACAGCGGGTACTGGTGATGGTAGTAGGAGCTGGGCGGGTAGAAGAAGTACGGCGGCGGGTTCACGGGCTCAGGCACGGCCGGCTTCGGCTCATCCTTCTTCTTCTCCTCCGGTTTCTTCACTTCCTCCACCTTGACGATTTGGGCGTGGCCGAGCTTCTTGCGGAGGGAGCAGACAAGGCACACCGGGTCGACGCCGTCGCCGACCACCTCCAGCTGGTCCCTGGCGTCTCCGGTTATCCCCATGGACGTCACCCCGGCTGCTTTGGCGGCCAGCGTCAGTGCTTTCGACCGGCTTTTATCGCACGACATGCTCAACTGGATGACAATCTTTTGCTGCAACAACAAAGAGAAAAACGATGGATCAGTTGTATGCTGCAGCATCAGACTACTGTATCGATGACTCAAAATTGAGCTGCTAAACGAAGCAACACCAGAAATCAACAAAAACTAGCTAGGAGCAGAAACTGAATTGGGTTACTCACCTTCATTGCTGCTGCTGGGTTGTTAGATGCCTAGCTGCCAAGGGGAGATGCTCGTGTTCGAGCGAGGCTAGCTAGATTGGTTTGAGTAGCTAGTCTGTGATGATTTTGTGAAGGCTATAGCCGCCTGCCCGCCTTATATACACGCACGCAGTGGGCGCGGGTGTGGGAGCGGAGAAGTGGAGCTATGTCAGTATCAGGAGCGATCCCAACGCACTATCCAACGAGCTGTAAGAAGATTCGTAGCAGCAACGGTGGCAGGCAGCAGTTGAGCTCAGTGAGTAAACAACTGCGCAACTGGGCAAGTACTGTACTAGCCATACATGTAAACGCGTCCTCATCATAACAATCTCTCGGTTGAATATTCCTGATCGGCAGGCTACCCATGGAGAGACAGTAGAGAGTATCAACTTTTAGCAAGACCTCATTGATTTATGTGGTGCCCTATTTCTATGGCCAGGTGGTGTGAACGATATCAACGACCTGGTCCGGTCTCGCCATGTAAAGCTCGTTCACAGGTCATACGTTAACATCTGACCTAATGAATCAGGTTAAACTAATTCCCGCAAAAATAAAAGTGGAATCAAATCAAATTAATTAATTATTTTTAGCAGGTAACCTAGATCTGGATGCATGCATTGATAAATATAGTTGCGCTTTTGTACATTTCGTTGTAATTTATTGTTAGATTCTTTGTACACGTTCGATATCGCCGTGTGTGTTTATATAGTATATATTGTGCTATTTTCAACAACTGAACCTTGGAAAGTAATCGTCGTGTTGTCAAAGCTGAAAGGGGACCTTTCATGGACTCCTGGGCGGGTATTTAGCCAGTAGTCAAACCTACGAAATAATCAATACATGATGACCATACAGAATTCGGCCGTAGGCTAGTCCACAGAGCTGATGGGTCCAGAGACGTTGTACTAGCTAGTATGCCATGCAACATGAGTCGTACGTACATACCTACAGGGTCAGTTTGGCGATCAACATGACATAGACGTTGTGCCATTGACCTGCACAAATAGCCCCAGTAAACCCCATGTTCTCGCTATTGTATGTGCAGGTCTGGTACGTGACACATATATTAAGCATCCTGTTCTTGTTATGATGCGCCTCTCCTCCTTTGTTACTTTGTTAGGTTCTTGCTACTATCATTTTTTAAGATAAGATCTATTATAAAGATTCATTGAAAGTAAAAAGCAGTTCAAACATAATAAAAATTATATCGAGGTACATGGATCACCGAACGACCATTGTCGTCACCATAACGAGCCGCCGACGTGTCATTATCACCGCTCCCATACCGAAGCCAGCCTCGCCTTGTCGATGACGACCGGAAAATCTTCAAATCGGCATAAATGGTCATCAGATCGTTAGTACATTGGTTTGACATGAGTGGTCATTAGATCGACACATGCGCAAGCGCAAGGTCACGTGTACGGACTTGCCGAAGAAGCAGTCAACCGAGAAACTAAAAATGTGTTCTGTTTTTGCCTCAATTTCCAACTGAAACCTTTCATATTTCCTCGAACTAATTAATAAACTCATGAATGGTTGTGGGATTAGCCCAAACAGAGCCAATTCGCTATGTTATTCCAAGTCGCGAATGAAGCTATAATTCGGTTGGATTGCGCCAAAGATTTTCATCTGCTAACCGATGAGGAACGTCGTCTCCACAGTTTCCACAATGGGAGATGCTTGGTGCTGGCTTCCCTATAGAGGATTGGCCTTCGCTAGCGTGCACGGGTCCATCAGGATTCGAAGTACTCCCACAATCCCACAACTGCAAGCGGTAAATGCTTTTTTTAGCGAAGCAGTAAATGCTAGTTTTTAAAGGTGAACTAGGGATTTATTCAAGTTTCATAATAGAAGGAATACAAATGATGTCTGGAAGGATCCCTAACCACATGTGGCATCCAACAGAGAGCGACGAAGCTGCCTTAGCTAGGGCATGAGCTTCCAAGTTTGTCTTCCTATTCTCGAAACGAAAACTAAGTTTTACAAAATCTTTAGTTCTTTCTCTAATTTCACTTAAAACTAAAGCATAAGAAGGAGCAGCAACTCCATTTATGTTTGTGACGACCTGCATGCAGTCCAGCCAATAACCACATGTGATAGATCAAGATCTTCAGTGAGGGTCAGCGCTTCATTGCATGCTTGAGCTTCGAGACTGGGAGCGTCAACCAAACCATCAAAAACCACGGCCGAGGGATCCAAGGTACTGGCCGTCCTTGTCCCTACAAACAGCCGCTGCAGCTCCTTTTCTTCCCTGCCGAGACATTGCCCCATCAACGTTTATCTTGGTTGCTTCCTCTCCTCGAGGCTTCCAATGATTAGATCTAGGTGGTGCTGCTCACGTATTGCTAGAATTCCTGGCAGTGGCAATCTAAAGGTCCTGCAAATAACGGTTCACAAAATACATCATAGAGAAAGGGCTTTGGAATTCATCGTCGTGTATCGCTTTCCTCTTTGCTCACCAAATTGCCCACATGGTGATGAGCGCCCTCGCGAGGTCCTGCTGGTTCATCGTCTTGAAAAGCCAGAACAACCATAATCGAGCATCATTGTTTCTGTTAGACAGCAAGTGTTCCAACACTTCTTCATCACCCAAAGTCTAGACACAACATGCCATGCGACACTCAAACAACGAGTGGCGCCATGAATCAGCATTAGCATTACAAATAAAGCACACTGATGAGGTGGCCATCTTTCTCTCATGGCGATTGTAATGCTAATGCTGATTCATGGCGCCACTCGTTCCACAAACCAATCCAGGATTTGCAAGGACATTTGCGCCAATCTCCATACAAATGTTCAAATTTTATAGGGTACCTTCACCTTCCACAAACTAGTCCAGGATTTGCTATCCGCTTCTCTATTCGATCGGCCCTGCTTGTGCTCAAGCCACTCCTCCCACCAATGCTTTATCCCATTAATCATCTTATAAGCTGATTTGACAGAGAATACACATCTCCTATCATAATGCCAAGCCCAACAATCAAGTTGTACCTGTGTACTGAGTGGTATATTCATGATTACCTTCACATCTGGATTGATAAAATATTAGTTGACGCTTATCTAGCGTGAGGCACACTAAAGCGAGAAGTAGGCCGGCCAAGTAATATGAAGTGTACGGTGGAGCTAAAATCTGGTTTTCTGAAGATTTTAAAAGTTTCTATGAGTGATTCTTTTTCTATTTTTTTTCTCTTGGTTCTTTCTGATTTTGTAGTTTTTCTTTTTCTTTTTGTTTGTTTTTTATTTTCTTAATTTCTTTTAATTTTTTCATTTAATGAATTCATGATTTTTTTCAACTTCTTGAATATTTTTAAATTAGTATAATAATTTGTCAAAATTAGGAATCTTTATCAAATTTGTGAACTTTTCTTTAAATTCTTGAACTTTTTTGAAATGCACGGAGTTTTATCAAATACATGTTTGTTTTTCATACCGGCAAATATTTTTTATCTTCTAATTCACTAAGTTTTTTTTAAATGTACTAACCTTTTTCAAATCAATGATTTTTTTAAAAGATTGTGAACTTTTCCTAGATCTGCCGACATTTTCAAATTTTTTTTAAAAAATTTAGAAGTTTTCTTCATTATATATTTTTATAAATTTTTGTGCTTTTAAGATTTTACCATGTAATTTTTTAAATGCGTAAAAAAACTGCTACGAGCGAGCAGTGGCTAGCGCCAAGAACCAACCAGACACCAAAATTTAATGGGTCGCAGCCCCGCTTCCAAGTGCGCGAGCGCCAAACGCTTTAAGCGCTGAATACGCACTCTCAGCATCTGTTCCCCGCCATTGCTTTGTCTCCCTTATTGCCACACGTAGCTCCGCGAGAGCTATATCTCGCTTAGTCCAAGACTAGCTTCTGTCTCGCTATAGGATTTCCCGTGCTATCTACAGTAACAGCCGGCCTGTTTCTGCGCGCTCACAGCTCGTTCGCTCGCTGTGTTTTGTTCGGTTTTATCGATTTCCTTCTTTTTTTTGTCCTTTTTTTTGTCTCTTCATGGTTTGTTATGTTTTTTGTTTCTCCATAGAGTTTTTCATTTTTTTTCTTTTATTCTGTTTTTTACTATTTTTTCTTTTTCCCTGTTTTTAGTTTTTCTTTAGTTTCTTTCTTCATTTTTATTTGTTTTCCTTTTCTATTTACTAGTAAGCATGTACGTGTAACACACGTCTCGATTATGAAACAGAAATATTTCTATCATAATTCAAATTTAAATCATAAAGACGTGTTGATGTTTTATGAACCAATGTGCCCCTTGTCCAAATAGGGCAATCGCAGTCAGCGATCGAAACGTGCACGCCGTTGGATTTACCTGACTACCCTTGCTTCGGTACTCCACAGCACCACTTGTTGTGCCACTCCACATGTTGTTGTCACCAGTCCTAATTCCTACACTCAAATAATCACTTGTTATTCAGGGCATAAAGTTGTCATTGTATCCATGATTGAATTAAATTTGAGGTATAATATTTCCAATCAAGAAAATACATCTTCAATCTTATTGTCAATGAGCACCGGAAATGTTGACACTGTTGTACCCTGCAGTACATAGCTTCATGTAGCAAGACGTAAAACGTTGGCATTGTTCTCGATGAATTTGCTAATAAAATTTAACATTCAAGTAGGTATAAGCGTGTAAGCCACGCGGAACCATTCTTTGAGGCAATCAACATTGCTTCAAAGCAAAAGAAATTGACAAATGAAAGAACACATCAACGTAGAACCATGACAGGTTATCTCTGCATAATAATACTAACAAACTTCGTAAACACGTAAGAAAAAAGTACAGTCATGAACCATGGTGCATATATATAGCAATGTCTGAATTAAGATGATGAGCATTACAACAGGGGGAGATCATTGACCTTAAATCTCTTACATATGAACATGTCTTCTCTAAATGTAAGCCATGGCTGAGAAGCAAGCCGGATCCGGATATTCAGTAACTAAAGCCAGAAACTTATCCACCTCTTCATATTTAAACAACATATTT